TAAAAAGCGACGGTAATTAATACTGGCTACGCCATATGGGCCCGCGAAAAGGCACAAAAGGTTTCTCCGCTTATGGAGCTCCCTGTCTCTTTTCTCCTTCCCAAAAAGTACCCCAGCCTTAGGATTCCCCCTTTGGCCCCAAGGTAGGTGAACTCGTCACTTCCGGCCAGGGAGGGGAGGGCGGGACCGGCGAGCTCCAAGGGCTCCCCCGCTGCGCACCCGCCCGCCGGGGTTCTTCGAAGAGTCAAGAGCCTCAGGGGAAGTGGGAGCCCCCAGCGGCCCACAGACTCTCCCAGAGCGGAAGAGGCGGTCGGGGCTGTGACCCAGCTTCCTTCCGAGGGCACCTGCAGGAGGCTGGGGCCTACCCAAGGCTCCGAGGTGCCCTTGCTCCCCCACGGTGAACCCTGAACACCTACCTAAATGAAGGACCTGAGTCTCAGACAGAAATGCTGAACCCACCAAGATAACTCAGACCCCAGTGCTCTCTCCATTATCCCCACGATGTGGTAGGAGAGGGGTCTGGGAAGTCTGGGGTGGGTGATGAGAGCCCCAGTTTTAGCGCTAGAAAGATTTCTGTTCCTCTCCTCACCGGTGGGTTTAGAGGAAGAAAGAGCAGCCTAGTACCTTGGACAAGGGGCAGGGACTTGCCCAAAGTCACACAGTGGGCCCGGAAACCATATGGTTTAATTCTCCGAGCTTCTCCCCTTCTCTTCTGCAGGTGTTCAGCTGCTCCTGCTGAAGAACTGGGTGACTGGGGGAGGAGCCTGGATTGGGAGGGTAGAGATGTGTGGAGAAGGGAGGAGGGGCTCCTGGTTGGTGTACCCTTAGTGCAGGAGCTAGCACCTCAGGTCTACACTGGCTGAAGTCCTTTGCAAAAGGACCCACAGCCGTGACTCTAACAGATCCGAAGTACTGTGGCTTCATGTCCACGTGCTGGACTAGGGAGTTTTACCCCTGGGGCTCCAAAATCAAAAGAGACCTTCAAGACCACCTGTTCAAACAGAGGTGGGGAAATTGAGGCCCAGCAGAGAAAAGCAAAGGATTCACAACTGGTTTGTAGCTGACCCCAGACCACTGCCTTCTCCTTAGCTCAAGTTCAGGCTCCCATGGACACTGGTTTCCTCTCCCACATCCCACCCTTGTAGTTACAGGGCACTGATATCAAGACCTGCCCCCAGCACCTCACCCTGTTCTGTCCCTAGCTGGCTGGGCCCCAGGCACCCAGAGCCTGCTTACCTACAGTGTAGGGAACACCCCAGTACTGTTGCCACACGCTGTGGAGAAGTGGCAGGAGGCTGCTGGTGTGCTTGGAGGGTAGGTGTCCCAGGGCAGAGGTGAGAATTCGGAGAGTGCTTGGGAGTGCCTGTTCTGCAGGTTTGGGGGGGAGTGCTGGTGGGTGGGCAGGGAGCGTGGAAGGAGGTATGGGTGTGTGTCAGCAGGGTGAAGGTTCTGGGAGGGGGCAGAGTGTGCCACATGGGAATTAATGCCATTCATACACCCTGCGGAAATGACTTTTCAAATGCATATAATCTCAAGCATGCAAATGAGAGGCTTGCTTCACCCTGTTTAATATGAATGATCAGCCCTTGAATAGCTATTATTACACACCACATTGCAGCAATTATGTTGTTCACTGGGTGTTGCTGTGTACATCCCCCTCCCAAATAAAAAGAAAAGAAAGGAGCTCCTCTATCTGCATCCTTTCTTCCTTTTTTTTCTCTTTTCCCAAACTTACCGTCTGATCTACAACTTTATGGTATTCCTGTGAGTGTTGGAAGGGGAGCATTCTCTCTTAGCCAAAGGAAGTAACTGCCAGATTCTCTTTCCTTTCTCCTGTGAGTGCATACACCCCTGAGGCTGTGGTCTTTGTCCCCTGGGGCCTAGGAGTTCTCAGATCTCAGAGAAGCTAGACTTGGAATCAGGGCAGGCAGCTGCTCACCACCAGCAGGGCCAAGGCTGGCGGAGAGGGAGAGGGAGAGGGAGAGCCGAGTGGTCCCTGCTGTCTCCCCATCCCCCTCACGCAGTTGAGGCTCAGGCCTGTGTGGGGGAAGGCGCTCCTGTAACCTACTGGCTGGGTGGTTTCGGGGGAGGGCACTGGAGCCCTGTGCTGTGGCGAGTGGAGGATGACGCCCGCCCCATCCATCATTTCACAGCCACTAGCCCTCAGGCTGACACGGCCATTAAGGCCTGAGACCAAGTGCTCAATCTCTTCCAAACCCGTCACTCCCATCCTACCCATACCCAGCTCCTCTCAGATCCCAGGAATGGAGCAGCAGCTGAGGGCAGAGCAAGCCCTTAGGAACATATAGAGAAATTCCCACACGGGGTACCCACAAGGCCACACAGATGGAGAGGGGTCACAGGAACAGGGATGTGGCTCCCTGTAGACCCCCAGCAGCTCTCTATGCACCCCCCATGCTCTCACACTCCCCCTTCTCCCCCTTCTTTGCTTCCAGCAGGGATAAAAGCTGAGCAAATGGCCTAGTAGAGTGACAGAAAAGAGTTCTGGAGTGAAAGGAGACAATTTGGGAGAGAGCTGCTCTTGGGAGCTGATGCCTTGAGGAAAGAACTAAGGAGATTCAGTTGTCCCTGTAGTTTATTTTGTCTGTTACCTGCAAGACCCTCATCCACCTATGGATCAGGGAGACCATGTGGTTATGGGGTCTGCCTGGGCCAAAAGGGATCAAGCAGGGAGGAAAGAACCTGGCTGGCTTCCATGTTCCTTGCTGGGTGTGCCTGTGGTTTTTACTCCTTGATTTCTATGTGATTTGGTCCAAGTCTTTGACTCCTCTGAGCCTCAAGGTCTTCAGTATCGGGGACTTGCTCTGTCAGGTGCCTTGTATGTGCTATTTTGTTTACTCAAAGGATTTGAGAGACTAGGATTAAATATACTCGGCCTTCTCTTTTTTTTTTTTTTT